TTTGAATTTGGTTTCCCTATTTTTTTAATACATTATAATCTATACGTGGAAGTAAGAGCTTTTTTTTTATCCATGTTTTCATATATTCATTAACTTTTTATCACCAAAACGGCACTCACAAAACATGTATAGTAGAACAGCACTTGAGAATTTCACATTTTATTAAGGTTATGTCTCCTTTTGATTGACATTTTAGTTCAAATGTAATCAAAATTATATATAATGAGAAGACGCAGGGTGGCCAATAGAACAATAAAATATTAAACTTGTGATTAACTAATCTCATATGAAATGAACATTGAAAAACCCAAACAATTTTAATTATTAGTTAACCAAAAAGTTACAATTACTTAATTTGAAAGTTAACTGTACATTGTAAAACTGGGCCTAAGTAGTTGTCAGCACTAATTTGGAACAATAACTGTTTATACGTAACACAGCAAGTAACAAGTACACAGTCCGAACAGCGAAACGGCATCGATCGATCGATAATTGATTTTTGAGTTCACAATGAACATTAAGCGTACAGTGAAAGATCTACTAGCTCAAAGAGCTTGAGATCGACTGACTACAACCGCCGCGTGAAAGCCCGCCCTTTTCCCCACTCCTCTTTCGCGCGTTGCGCTGCCAGGTAGTATACCGGTCGACCTTGACATACTTAATATACAGGATGTTAACAGACTGAAACAAGGAATAAATCTAAAGCGTGTAGTCTATATAAAAAATTTACGTTATAAATTAACGAAATCGAACTAAGTCTGTATGAACCTTCTGATCTTTCAGCGGAACATATTTTGTATAAATTAATGTACCTAAAAAAAAATTCAAATTACATCCCGCTTAATTAATTAACTATAGGCGAATTCTTTAGCTTGGCATTTTCAGATTACAATGGGAAATCAGAGCAGTTGATTAGTTCAATTTTCACAAAATTTTGTTTACCCCCTATTTTCGATGTCGAATCTGAAGTTTTTTTTTGTGCGGTCGAACTCAGTTTTTGAGAAACAATTTTTTCAAAATTCTAACCTGAATATTTCAGATAACACTACGTAGAACTCTGTATATTTTATGTAGCTTTTAGAACATCTGTAATAAACAATCAACATTGTTTAAGAAACACATTTTCCCAAATTTGAACTAAAAAAATATGTATTTAATAAATAAAATTATAGTAACTTTATGTGGGATGAACAGAGTTGAATGAGAGTGGGGGAACTCAATGTTGTCATCACGAATTACAAATGGTGGATTCAAACTACAAAATTTTTATTTATTAAATACATATCTTTTTACTTGAAATTTACGAAAATGTGTTTCGTGAACAGTGTTAATTGTTCATAACAGATGTTCTGGAAAGCTACATAAAATATACAGAGTTGTACGTA